GAAAGAAAGAAAGAAAGAAAGAAAGAAAGAAAGAAAGAAAGAAAGAAAGAAAAGGATTGCTATGTCCCTGTAAAATATTTTGTTCTTTGCAACTGAATTCTACTAATGGAACCAGAGTGGGAAGACAGTGACAGAAATCATTAATTTTATATCTTTTTCCTGTCAAGCCACTCAGTCATACTCTGACAGTAACAATTCAATTAAAAATTCCTCCTCAATTTGGATTTTATTGGATTGCACTAAGGGGTTTAGATTTATGGAGCAATACCATGAGCGTCTGTTCCACTTTTAGGAGGTAACATTAAATTCTAAGACAGGTTCAAGGGACAATTCAGAATTTATGCCAGGTCTAAGCAATTGACAACTCAAGCACAGATGATAGCAGTGTTCCAATATCTAAGGGGCTACCACAAAGACAGAGGGTCAACCTATTCCCCGAAACACCTGAAAGCAGGACAAGAAGCAATGGATGGAAACTAATCAAGGAGAAAACCAACCTAGAAGTAAGGAGAAATTTCCTGATAGTTAAAGCAATTTATCAATGGAACAACTTGCTTCCAGTAGTTGTGGGTGCTACAACACTGGAAGTTTTTAAGGAGAGATTGGACAACCATTTTCCTGAGATGGTATAGGGCAGTGGTGGCTAACCTTTTTGGGCTCCTGTGCCAAAAACTTGTGTGCCAGCACCCAGAATGCAATGCGTGTGTCCTTCCCCACGCCCCCTGTGCATGCATGTGCAATCCTCCCGCCCCCTTACTTGCACTGCACCTCACAGCTGATTTTTCGGCTGGTTTGAGGTCTTTTTCAACCTGCCAGAGGCTTGGAAAAAGCCCCTGCAAGGCTTTTCAGGCCAAATCATAGGCCCATTTCATCACTTCTAGTATTACAGGATCAGCTGTGAGGCGTGTGCATGTGCAGAGAGGTAAGTTTGCCTGTGGCTTGCATGCCAGCACCAATGGCTCTGCATGCCACTTGTGGCACACGTTCCATAGGTTCGCCATCATGGGTATAGGGTTTCCTGCTTGATTAGGGGGTTGGATTAGAATACCTCCAAGATTCCTTCCAACTCTCTTGTTTCTCCTTGCAGAACTTTACTTGCAGGGATTAAGAAATGGTGTGAGTGTCAATGTTCCAACTGACAAACCCAACCAAAGCAATCATGGCTGTGACAATCCAAAGCAAAACTTTATTGAGTACATCATATTGGCAAAGATGAGGGCAAAACCAAATCTTTTTCCCACACAAACCCATATAGTTAAAGTTCAGGTCTACCCTCCCCCAAGGAGGTCACATATTAAATCAGGTCACATTGTTCAATGGAGACTTCTGGTATTGTTGTGAGAAAGTCTTTTCCTTGGCTCTGGTAAACACTGGCCAAAACATCCTTCGTTCCCCTGGCTGGGGCATAGTTCTATCTCCCCCTTCCTTCCCGCCATAATTCATTGACCAGCTGAGAAGTGATAATAATTGCAACAGCAAAATTGCCATTTGAAGCTTGACAGGGAGATTTGTTTTGTTTTAATGGTCATTTAATTTATTTTTATAATTAGATATTAACATAATTTCACATGAGTATTGTAGTACTGTAGTGCCTATTTCTTTCCCATCCCTATCGTTCATCCTTCTTCATCTATTACATTTATGCAGTTGGATATACGACTTTGGTTAAACTTTTCTTTTCTTGTATTTATTCTTTAAAAAAAATTATACTATGTATATTCAAAATGTGTAAATGTGTAAACATTTTCAATAGTTATATAACCAAGGAAATGAATGGCATAATATTGGACATTAGCTACCAAAACTAACCACTGCCAACATCTTCCACCTGAGCTACAAACGTTTTCTATCATTTCAATTCTAACTTTGGAACAAGATTTACAGGAAACCCCTACTGCCGGTCCCAGCATCTGCTCGCAACTGCTTTCACCAATCAGCCTGCCTTATCGAATAGATAAGTTTTTAAACTCTACTTAATTGCATTCAGAGATGGAGCTTGAGTAGGAATAAGTGGGCTGTTTTGCAGTTGAGAAAATCCAGTTGAGATTTAAACAGTATGTCCCAGATAACATCAGAATTTAGATAGTGCTTGATTTATAATTTAGTGTTTTACTTTCGTGCTATATCAACTAGGTCTGTTAATTGCTGAAAATTAATGAATCAATTACTATAAATTAAAAGTGTTATGCAGCCTGGAACATTTAGAACATGGATTTAGTCATCTTAAGGGACATACATAAATATTATACTAATTGTCATAATTTTGTTTTATGAAATAATGTAATTTTAAAGTAGGAGTAGCAAAAAACACCTTTTTGACCCAACTGTTATTTCCTGATTATAACACGCTCTGAAGAAACAGAAGGATGAAGGTAATTTCTTTCCTGGACTTTCAACATGACCTTTATCTTTACTAACATGGTGGGCCTTGTACTTTTATAGCCCAGGTGTACTATTGCTTGCAGGCTACATCTAGTTAATGACTGAGCACAGATGA